ACCACCACCACCACCACCACCACCACCATAACCGCTGCTGCCACCGCTGCCACCACCACCACCTTTTCTTTTAACACCTTCCCCCCACTAAAAGTGTAAGCCTAAAGAAGGAATAATTTTAAAACCAAAACTTTCGACTTGCAGCTTTGTGCAGAATTAAAAAATATCTATATCTTGCAACCACTTGTTGTTGCCTAAGTGTTCAAAATATGACTCAGCAAGTATAAAGCTTGCTTATTATATTAAGTGCCAGCATTTTCTAAAAAAAAAGAGAAAAAGAAGTTCTCAAGAAGCTTCAAGCACAAGTAACTCCAAAGGTATGGAATACCTTTATGACAAAGAAAGCAGGAAACAATAGCTGTGGTAAATATAAAAAGTATCAAAAAGGAGAGAGCTACGGGACTGACATCGTGGTTGAGGAAAGGCAGAGAAGGAGGTGAGGAATGATGTACACTGCGTTGAAACAGATGAGGGAGAGAACTGTTTAAAAGGGATATATTATTGGGTATTATTGCCATGACAGGAGTCTAGAATGAAGGCTGCAGAGTGGAGTAGATTTGGGGGGAGCGATTCCATAATAATGAAAGAGTTTTCTTTTACTTTTCAAGGAGAAGAGTGAATTGGGGGGAGGGGGTGGGCAGGGAGAAAAGTTTAACCATGAATTATTGGAAACCCCAAGTCTCTAAACTTTAATTAAAATTAATAAAAAAAGGAGATAGCTCTATAACTCAAGACCAGTTTATCTTCACATAGAAAATAAAATAATGGGCATTATTAAGACTGTGCCACCATTTGTCATAGTGTAGTTGCTAAAAGCTTAACTTTTATTTTCTACTTCCTGTTAGTTTCATTGTACTAAAGCCATTGAAGATATTTCTCTGTTACCAGATAATTTAGATGTTCTAATCATCCAACTACAAGGAGGGGAAATGAACCATAAATCTCCAGAAGTTTCAAGAGTCAGGAATGTTAGTAAAATCCTAAGAGTTGTGTAGTCAATTGCATGAAACGTGTGTGTTTTCTGAAGACAAAGTACAAACTTGCTCCATCTCTAAGTAATGAGAAAAATGAGAATCTTTGTCAGAACTGACCAAAGAGTTGTAGAAACATGAGAATTTGTGGGAAATAATGAAACAGTTGTAGAAGACATGAAAAATGTGTGTAAATCTGTAACTTAAGTGAAAATATAATAAGAATGGCATTCTTTTTCCCCTTTTTAAAATTAATTTTAATGAAAGTTTACAGAGACTTTGGATTTCCATTTATTGATTGTTTCACAAGAATGGCATTCTTTTAGAATACTTTTTAGGGGAAAAAAGTAATTTAATCTTAAAGTAGAATGTCTATTTTTTTCCAGAAAGATTGGTTAGAAAGTAAGAATAAGTAAATGAATAAAATGTAAGAGAAAGTGAATAAGAGTAAAGGAATTTTAAGAAACGATTGATTGTTCTACATAGTCATTAAAATATGAAAATTCAGAAAAATAAAGTTTACTTTTGAAACTTTAGTTCAAAATACTCTAACAAGACATTCCCCTACTATTACTGCTAAGATCTTGTCTTTATTTTTTATGACCATTTCTAGTAATTTAATCACTTTTAACTGCAGCATGTAAAATGTCTTCAGAATATAGAAAGTTCAATTAAAGGAATTCAATACACATTGGAAGATAAAATGTGCAAAAGCTATTCAGCCTTAACACTGAGCTTCCATGTCATGGCAATAATACCCAATAATATATCCCTTTTAAACAGTTCTCTCCCTCATCTGTTTCAATGCAGTGTACACTTCCATAACACTGAGCTTTAGGCTTATACATTCTGTGTAAACAAAATATTCCAACTTCCCTTGAGAAACAATATATCTAAAACACTGATAAACATTAAATATTAAGAAATTATATGACAATATGTAAAGAGATTGAATAGTTGCGATGACAAATCCATAGTCTCCAGATCCTTCGCATTTCTAAGACTATATAAACAGCATTAATAACATGAAGAAAAACTTTTAATTTACTTTTAAATTAAAAATTTTTCTGATTGTTCTCCATTGAGGGGTCTTAGAGGTGAAAAGGTAATCAGATTACCACCAAAGGAAATATATCTGGCAGGTTCTTGATGTCTTCTCCCCGTTCGAGTAAATGAATTACTGCAATTTAAGCATGGTGCATCGAGAAGATGGTATTCGGTAGGGAGACGTTCTTTATCAAATAATGCTGATTGACATAAAGAAATTTTAGTTTCTTCCTCCTGTGAGATGTTACTTTGTGATGATGTAAGTTTTTCAGGGTTACACATCAAAACATCTTGTACTATAAGGGAAGAATTCTGTTCCATTCCATCTACAACCATTGAAGTGTCTTCCATTTTTTTAGTATTAATATTATCTGGCCCTTCATCAACAAGTAGAGGTAAATCCATCTTTTCATTGGATAAACAATCCATGTCAAAGTTTATCTTATTTGCATCATGGTTTACTTCAATTAAATTCGGTAATCCGGGACACTGGGTGTCATCTATTAATGCTGTTTTCAGGAATATCTGAAAGGAAAGTTTTCTCAACATGTTCACTTGTAGTATTCAGAGGATCAAGATTCTCTGCTGGTATTATTTGCCTTCGATGGTCCATCTTAGCTGTGCTCTGAGATACAGCTTTGCCAACTGATTTAGGTG